TTCCTGCAGCCCTGACACTTTACCCTCCCCAATTAATTACCTCCTCCCACCTGTCCCTCCCCCCTGCTGCCTGCCTCCCTTGTAGCCTCTACCCCCTGTTGCTGCCTCTGTCCCACCCTGCATGGCCCCCCTGGTGCCCCACTCCCTGCCACCTGCCTCCCTTCCACATTCCAGCTCTGGCTCTGCTCCAGCTTGGGGCACAGAGCACGTGATTGCTCCAGTCCCGCAACCCCGCCACAGTCACACAATGCTTGGGGTGACAGTGGTTGGGCTAGCTTTGGCCCTCACTCTGGCTATGGAACAGGGGCCAGAACTGCTGCTGCCACAGTAGTTTGTTAGCTATTCAGTACCATGTAAAGTTTACTACATTTTGATGTTATAATGTCAAGACAAATCAATTGTTTAATTTCTCAGGTACAGTTTCATTCTGTTAAAAAAAAAACTTTTAAAAAGAATGAACCTTGATATATGTGAATTAAACACCGAATTTTCATTATTAAAGTCTTTGCCTGTGTGATAAATTGTTAACCAAAGTTGAGCTCTTAAATACACATTTAGGCAGTTAAGTGGTCTGGTTTTCAGAAGTGCTGAGTGTCCAGGCTGGGCAGCAGGGTGGCTAGAAGCCCAGATTCTTCAAAATGTTTATCTTCTTAGATTGTTTATGTGGTTACATATTGATTTAGAGATTTAATATTAGGCATGTATTTTTTAAAAATACTTGCCCTTAATTCCAAAACTTATGTTCTATTGTTGGCATTTCATCATCTCTCAGTATACTTTGGTATACAAATGACAAAAATTAATCCTATCTTACATAATACAAACATACCAGAAGCCAAGAGTAATTAATATTTTCAGTTATATATATTGATGCACAAAGGTAGAGATACTTGAGATGGTGAATACTTTGGTTTCCATTGGTGGGCAAGGTTATTTGGGTAGATGTGATATCTTTTATTAGAACAACTGAGTAGTTGGAAAAAAGTTCTTTGCAAGCCTTGGGGCACAAATACCCTTCTTCAGGCATTTGGGAGACTCTGCTGTTCTTAAATGTCCAAGGTAAGAAAGAAGCTAAATGTGTGACAGGAGGTCAGTGAAAATGTAAATAGGTGGAAGTTTGAAAAACAATGGGTAGAGAAGGGAAGGGAGGTTGAGAAAAAGAGGGTAATAATGGGTGAAGGAATGCAGAAGGTAAGCATGGGAGAGACTACTGTATTATTGACTTCTCCAAGGAAGAAAAGGGGCAGTCTGGCAGTCTGTGAAAAAGTAAATAGGCAGAAGTTAGGATGACCATGGGTAGAGAAGGAAGGGGGTGGGGGGTGGGATTGTGTAAATGGTAAGTTCAGGCAGGTACCTGGTGAATCAGATGTCAGGCAGGTTGTAATGTGTCATAAATCCAATGTCTATATTTAGACCATAATTTTTTGTATCCAGTAGATTTATGAAGTTAAGTTTCTAGACTTATCTACAAATGGTGTGTTGTAAATTCCCTTTGAGGATTAGAACTGAGAGATCAGAGAGAAAGTAATTGTCTTGTGAGAAGTGTGCACCCACAGGTAATTGGATATTTTTGTCTTTGATGGATTTTTAAGTGTGTGTTCATTCTGGTACGCAGTTGTTGTTTGGTTTCTCCTACATATTTTCCATCAGGGCATTTAGTGCACTGAAAGATATATTATGTATCTGGAAGTGCAGGTGTAAGTTCCAGGAATGGTGATGGTTTTGTTGTGGGATGTAGTTATTGTAGGAGGGGTGGATGTGTTGGCAGGTTTTGCATTTCTTGGCCTGGCAGGGTCGGGATCCATTTGGTGTGGTTTAGGTCATAGGAAGTTTGCTTCTGGTGGTGAGGTTAGCAAGGTTTGGTGCTTGTTTAAAGGCTAGAATGGGTGCTTCTGGAAAGATCTCTTTAAGAATTGGGTCTTCTTCTAGTATGGGTTGCAACTGTTTGAGGATTTTCTATGTAGGTTCCAGAGAAGGTTGCTATGTCATAACTAGTGATGTGCAGCTAGTGAGGTTTTTTGTATTGTAGCAAATTTTAATGTAGTATCCGGGTGACTCATTTAGAAGTACGGTCTCTCTCTCTGGAGGAGTGTCCTTGCTGGGTGAAAGCCCTTTTGAGATTTGTGAGGTGGCAATCATGTGTATTCTTCTTGGTACACATTTGGTGGTATTGGAGAGCTTGGCAGTAAATTACAGCTTTTTTGATGAGTTTAGGGTGATTGCTCGTTATGTGTAGATATGTATGTTGGTCCATGGGTTTCTTGTATATGGTGGTTTGTATTTTACCATTTTGGATATTGATCATGGTGTCCAAAAAGGAAATGTTGGTGTTTGAGTATTCAAGAGAGTCTGATGGAGGGGTGATGGCTGTTGAATTTTTGAATTCAATCAGAGACTGCAGGGTTTTGCTCCAAACTGTGAAGATGTTATCTATATAGCTCAGGTATAGCATGGGTTTGATGATGCAGTTCTTGAGGAATTCTTTTTCCAGGTAGGCCATAAAAAGATTGGCATATTGTGGGGTCATTTTGATTTCTATTCTGCATTTGTTGGATTTGACAGTCTCTTTTTTTATACCTTTAGAAAGAAAAGGTGATCAAGACTTCATTATGTATGACATTAATATCCTTTTGATCTCTTCAATCTAGCAAGATATGACAAATTTTTGTTTGTGTTTCAGATTGTGGTTGGCTGTGAGGCAATTTCTTGTGGGGACCTCCACTCTGTCATGCTGGAGTACACCAAGGATGCCAGGTAAACAAGAAAATTAAATATGGTCCCAATTGCAAAAGCAAAGCTCAAGAGCTTTTGCTTATGAAAGCGGTTGCTTTGAGTCATACAGTGACCATTTTCAAATCAGAGGTGCACCACTCCTATTGCAAACATAGCAACTTACATACATCCTGTAAATATTCTTGTTAAGTCACCCAGGCCATTGACAGACCAGTGACATTGTTCCTGAAGTTACAGTTAATAACTATGTCTCTGTTAAACACAGAGAACTCCTGTTCTCCTGTGATAAAGAACTATAATTGTTAAGCTAAGGTTAAAATAAAAACCATGTGATGCTAATTTGCACTTGAATTGGTGACCCATTAATTATATTGTTTCCTGTAGTAGAGTATAATGTTATAGATATTATTTCATAAAAATAAAGATGTTCTTTTTGTGCTTATATGCTTTTCTCTGTCAATATATACCAGTGAGTCTTAACCAGGGTGCCACGCAACGTTAACGCTGTTAGATACATAAGTCTGATTACACCCAGAGATTTCATATAGGAATCCATAGTAATAATAGCATTCTGAAGTGGTGTGGTCTTTCTGAGTTCTGTTCAACAAAAGAATTGCTGTATTATTTTTTCCAAAATCAAAAAATGAGAGAAAACTAACTGGAGTTTTTTGAGGGGTGCCTTGAGTCTAACATGGTTGAGAACCACTGATACAGACATTGTGGGGAAAACCGATATAAAAGGACTTTTCTCTGACCTAGAAAGAGAAGGGACTAGGGATCAGAATTCTTAGTCACAAGCTGTAGTATCAGCTCACAGGGCTCCTCTGCTTTCCACAACCTATTACCAGTACACGTGATTCTGAGCATTTCCACTAGAAGGGGCTTCTTCCTTGGCTGATCAAGGTTGCAAAATTTCACCCTTTGTCTGTTTTGTCTGTTTGTGACAATGGTACATGGAAAATATTGCTGAAGATCACTTGATTATTTTTCTAAAAGAAGTCATTGCCATGACCTATAATAGATTACTTACTTCCCTTTATTATTCTTTTCAGTTGTTCTAACAACATATTTTCTTCATTTCCTACAGGACAGATTCATGGCAACTTGTCCAGACACAATGCCTTCCTTCCTCAACTAATAGCATTGGCTGCTCCCCATTTCAGTTCCATGAAGCTACCATCTATAATTCTGTCAACAGCTCTACGTGGAAAAGAATAACTATTCCACTGCCTGATCATGTCTCATCCAGGTAGGTTACCAAAAGGTCAGCTCCCTGTGGAATTATTAGCTGTCATCTATATCACTGGAACTGTTTGTCCAGTACGACTGGTGAATTTAAAGTGATTCTTTTTTCAGGATTCGGATATGATACATAACGAAAGTCTTTGGAAATGTTTTCCTTTAACAAAACTGGCAATTGCCAGATATTAGATGGCCATTACTTTTAATCTAAAAATTTCCACTGAGCCACAGCC